CAGCAACACACACACGTTACTTCCTGTTACAGATGACGTGAGCTAGTTAACACTGGGGCTGTGTCCCATCAGCCTTCTCTGTGAACTTCCTGCTCCAAGATCTGAGCGCGCTCACATCAAGGGGATCGACTGAGCCCCGCCTCCCCCAGGCACAGCCGTTATCAGAGGAACATGTGTGTGATGGCTGCACTTACAGCCACACAGGGGTAATATCACCATATTAGTGTAGAGGCTTATACATAACACTGCATTCACATTTGTCTTTCTGTAAATATAGGAATTAATTTACAGGACAATGAACTGGTTTTGGTTTAGAATTAATCACGTATCACATAACACTGCGTTCTAAAACAAGTGCGCACATTTCAGTTTACACTGTTATGTATGATTAATCTTTGTTTTCTGACTTACCTTAGTTGCAGCTGCTCCAGCCCCTTGATTGAGGAGCCAAGAGGTGGAAAAGGGGCGGAGCCAGCCTTGATGGAAAACTGCAGATTGGCTCATTCCATAACTCGGGACCATGGGGGGGATTGGAGTTCATGATGTTAGTTTCAGTTGGGTTTTGTGTGTTTTACCCCTTTTTGTGGGCTGATTAGCCAATATTTATTTATGGGCCCAGGATTTTGAATCTTTTTGCAGGATTGAACTATTATGTTTTGGGGTTCAATAAAAAAATCTCTTCTTTCTGGACTTTAACCTGTGGCTACGTTTCCTTCGCTGCTCGGTCCATCACGATGTCACACAGATAAAATAAGGCTGTGATCATCACAGCGCTCTGTAACCTGTGCTTAGTTACCATGGTGACCTAGCAGGTACACTGTAGGCTCATTAACCTCACACCTCTGGTCAGGCCAGCTTCATCTATCATCGGTCAGGGTCAGAGGTCACAGGGAGTTATCGACTCCATTGGTCAATCCAGGATTTATTAATGTAGCTACAAGTGAGTCGGCAGGAAGGCTGCAGGCCGCAACGGACCAATCAGGAACACGGACAGGATGACAGCGAGAGCTCGTCACAGCCTGGTCCACCTCATCATGAGACCAGCTCTGCTCTCCACCGCAGCCCTGAGAGCGAGCACGCGTCCGCCCAGGATCATGTCCTATTATTACAGGTAATACCACACGTGACCACACATACACTTTAAAATCCTGCTGCAGCCGACAGGAACACGGCTCGAGTCAAGTTCCTCTAA